ATATTGTATTATTATTACTAGTATCATATTGTATTACATTGTAATATTATAAATATTATATGTATATACAACATACTATATTATATTATTTGCAGAGTACAATATCAGTATTATATATTACTATATTGCACTATACCATTATATTGTAATATTATTGGTGATATTACATGTCATGTACATATATAATTATAATATTGTATTATTATTACTAGTATCATATTGTATTACATTATAATATTATCAATATTTGACAGGCACTTGCATCAACAACACCTCAGTGATGATGTTCAAGAAAGGGAGCTTTGAAATCGGTGCCACCGTTTATCCCGTTGCCATCAAGGTGAGGGTGGTGTTTACCTATGCAACTAATTCCTGGTAGCAAAAACTTGCTGTGAGTTTTCCGGGCTCTCTGGCCATGTTCCAGAAGCATTCTCTCCTGACGTTTCACCCCCTCTGCTGCTTCCTCGCTCTCACCCTCCTCTTCTTCCACCTCCCCATTGTTATCCTTCAGTACGACCCCCAGTTTGGAGACGCCTTTTTCAACAGCAGCAAATACGGCATGGTGACCTACCTGCTGAGGATGATGACCAGCTGGGCCATCGTCTGCAGCGTCTGGTATCTCCCTCCAATGACCCGAGAGGTGAGTCGCCGGCCTCTCCGGGCCAAACTGTTGCGGGATGAACGACAAACCCTCTTAGCAGGCCCTTCCGGCCCATGTTGACTCTCCATTCCCTCTTTGTAGCCCGATGAGGATGCGGTGCAGTTTGCCAATCGTGTGAAATCGGCCATTGCGCGGCAGGGGGGCCTGGTGGACCTTTTGTGGTGAGTCCCGAAACCTTGCCTTGTCGCTGGGAGAAAGAGAGGAAGCAAGGGGTGTGTAATTGGGTTGCTGTGAGTTTTCTGGGCTGTATGGCCATCTTCCAGAAGCATTTCCAGGTGCATGTATTTTTTTGATATGTTTGTACTCATATATGTGTAAACCATCCTGAGTAACTTTGGGGAGAGAAAGAACTAACAAACTAACAAAATGAAGTTCAACAGTGACAAATGCAAGATACTCCACTTAGGCAGAAAAAAACGAAATGCAAAGATACAGAATGAGGGACGATGAGGTCTGGCTCGAGAGCAGTACGTGCAAAAAAGATCTTGGAGTCCTCGTGGACAACAAGTTGAACATGAGCCAACAATGTGATGTGGCGGCAAAAAAAGCCAATGGGATTTTGGCCTGCATCAAGAGGAGCCTAGTGTCTAGATCTAGGAAAGTCATGCTCCCCATGCTCTATTCTGCCTGGAATATTGTGTCCAATTCTGGGCACCACGATTCAAGAGAGATATTGACAAGCTGGAATGTGTCCAGAGGAGGCGACTAAAATGATCAAGGGTCTGGAGAACAAGCCCTATGAGGAGCGGCTTAAAGAGCTGGGTATGTTTAGTCTGAAGAAGAGAAGGCTGAGAGGAGACATGATGGTAGCCATGTATAAATATGTGAAAGGAAGCCACAGAGAGGAGGGAGCAAGCTTGTTTTCTGCTGCCCTGGAGACTAGGATGTGAAACAATGGCTTCAAACTACAAGAGAGGAGATTCCATCTGAACATGAGGAAGAACTTCCTGACTGTGAGAGCCGTTCAGCAGTGGAACTCTCTGCCCCGGAGTGTGGTGGAGGCTCCTTCTTTGGAAGCTTTTAAACAGAGGCTGGATGGCCATCTGTCAGGGGTGATTTGAATGCAATATTCCTGCTTCTTGGCAGAATGGGGTTGGACTGGAAGGCCCAGGAGGTCTCTTCCAACTCTTTGATTCTATGATTCTATATTATTATTATTATTATTATTATTATTATTATTATTATTATTATTAAAACCATAAATATACTATAACTCCAAGCTTGTGCGGGATACGTTTGTGTTCCGCCGTCCTCTGCCTGACCTCTTGTCTTATTTCTTCTCTGAAGGGACGGTGGCTTAAAGAGGGAAAAGGTGAAGGACACATTCAAGGAGGAGCAGCAGAAGCTCTACAGCAAGATGATTGTGGGCAACCACGAGGATCGGAGCCGCTCCTGAGTTTCCCCACGGCTGGCCGGAGGCTCCCGCGGCTCAGAACTCTTTCCGGGGCCAGTCTTCCTCTTAAGGCTTTGGACACATTTCGTTCCGTAGCCTGCCTCTCCATGGTGCTGGCCAGTGGCTACTGAGAAAAAAGGCCTTGTCCTCAATCCCTGTGGTTTCCCTCACTGGCCAGGCAGCAGCAGCAGCAGCTGAGAACTAGACATCCCAGTGGAGGTGGTAGCATGGGATGCCCTGCCTTGTGCCTCCTCCTCCGCCGCCTGAGCTCTGCAGGAGCCTCTCTCTCTCTCTCTCTGCGTGCGGCGTCCGTGCATGCATGCCTGTGCCAGATGCGCCAGCCTGGTCCTGGATGCCAGTGATGGAGGTGCCTCCTGCAACGCCCTTCCTCTCTTGGGGAAAGGCACAACCCCCCCCCCCCACTCTTTCTTGTGTCCTTTCCTCACTCTTCTGCCCCTCTTCCCTGGAAAAAAAGAACTGACTTCAGTTGCATGGGTTCACTTTGCATTTTATAATTAAATGATATAGAGGAAGGTTTTGTGCCAAGTGTTTGCGTGCTGCCTTTGCAATGGAACCACGGGCGTGTCAACCCATTACGCAAAGTAAGCATTTGCGGTATAGTTCATTTTGCCCAGGGCGCTCATGAGGTGCTGCTCTTGGGGGAAAATAGACCTTGACATATGCAAGTTGTAGTTACTGGGATGTATAGTTCACCTACAATCAAAGAGCATTCTGAACTCCACCAACGATGGAATTGAACCAAACTTGATACACAGAGCTCCCATGACCAACAGAAAATACTGGAAGGGTTTGGTGGGCATTGACCTTGAGTTTGGGAGCTGTAGTTCACCTACATCCAGAGAGCACTGTGGATTCAAACAATGATGGATCTGGACCAAACTCTACACAAATACTCAATATGCCCAAAAGTGAACACTGGTGGAGTTTGGGGAAAATTGAATCTTGACATTTGGGAGTTGTTCGTGTTCTTGTCCATGGAGATTAGAACAAGGAACAATGGCTTGAAACTACAAGAGAGGAGGTTCCATCTGAACATGAGGAAGAACTTCTTGACTGTGAGAGCCGTTCAGTAGTGGAACTCTCTGCCCCAGAGTGTGGTGGAGGCTCCTTCTTTGGAGGCTTTTAACCAGAGGCTGGATGGCCATCTGTCAGGGGTGCTTTGAATGCAATATTCCTGCTTCTTGGCAGAATGGGGTTGGACTGGATGGCCCAGGAGGTCTCTTCCAACTCTTTGATTCTAGGATTCTATGATTCTGAATTCCACCAATGATGGAATTGAACCAAATATGGCACACACAACTCCCAGTGATTGGTTGTGGCACCAAAATACTGTTTGCTTACCGTTGAAAATTACCTCTGAATGGAACCACCTGTCTCCAAGGGGTCGGGGCACACGGTCCCCCCTTTCTCTGTGTGTTGCGCTTTCCTTTTGGGTCACAGTGGGGCAGAAAGGTGGGCGCAGTGCTAGATTTGGGGTGCGGTCATTAGCCCTACTCTTGGGAAATGGGACTACAAAGACCAGTATCCACAGTTACAGGAGTACAAAAGTTTTCATGGTCGTTAAACATATGTTTAGTTCAATGTATCAATATGAATTCAAAGCTAGGTAGTTACACAAACACAAATAGAGCCATTGCTGTACAATACAACATAAGACAGTTACATTCACAATAATAATCTATATAAATAAAAATGTAATGTTTGTTTGTGGGATTAACAAAACTCAAAAACCACTGGACAAATTGACACCAAATTTGGACACAAGACACCTCTCAGGCCAACGAGTGCTCATCGCCCCTAAACACACACAAACACTCAACACCCCAGCGGAACAGACTTAAAAAACCCCCAAAGTACACCTTATATACATATACACATGCACTCATATACACGTGCACACATTCATACACACACATGCGTGCGCGTGTTTACACACACACACACACATATATATGCACAAACACACCCAAATATACGCATACATATAGATACACACACACACACATATATATACATGCACACATACATATATGCATATCCACATATATACACACAAATGCATATAGTGCACACATAAACAATATGCATGTACACATATAAATACACAAATATATACACACACATATATATGCCCAAAATATACACACAAAAACACACATATACTCAGATAAACACATATATACACACACAAAGCACATATGCATAGACTGGGCCACAGCAACCCGTGGCAGGGGACAGCTAGTCTATATAAATAAAAATGTAATGTTTGTGGTATTCACAGAACTCAAAAACCACTGGACCAATTGACACCAAATTTGGACACAAGACACCTAACAGCCCAATGTATGTCTTTCACTCAAAAAAATTGATTTTGTCATTTGGGAGTTGTAGTTGCTGGGATTTATAGTTCACCTACAATATCAAAGGGCATCCTGAACCCCACCAACGATGGAATTGAACCAAACCTGGGACACAGTTCTCCCATGACCAAGAGAAAATACTAGAAGGGTTTGCTGGGCAGTGTCCCTTGGTTTTGGAGTTGTAGTTCACCTGCGTCCAGAGATCACTGTGGACTCAAATAATGATGGATCTGGACCAAACTCTACACAAATATTCAATATGCTCAAATGTGAGCATTGGTGGAGTTTGGGGAAAATAGAATCTTGACATTTGGGAGTTGTAGTTGCTGTGATTTGTAGTTCACCTACAATCACAGGGCATTCTGAACCCCACCAATGATAGAATTGGGCCAAACCTCCCACACAGAACCCCCATGTGGGCTGCAGCAACGCGTAGCAGGGGGTGGCTAGTAATAATAATAATAACACTTTAATTATATTCTGTCCTATCTCCACAAGGGGACTCAGGACGGATCACAGTACACATGTGCGCCAAACATTCAATGCCATTTGGACAGACAGGACGGAACATGCAGAAAGGAAGTATGTTGTGTCGACGTCCAAATTTTTGCGCCTATGGAGGTTGTGCTCAAATCCAGCCACAGGAGGGTGCTGTCGCTCCACCCTCTATGACAAAGTGCCATCAGGACTTCCTCTTTCCTTTTCGTTGCTGGCATTTTCTGGTCTTTTTCTTTTGTGGTGACGTAAAAGGCCTCCCCCGCTTTTTAGCGGTACCTAATATCTCTATTTACAGCTCTAAGCTGTTTTCGAACTGCTTAGGTAAACAGTAAGCTGGGCTGACAGTCAGGTGCTCACCCCAACCCAAGCTTCAAACATTGAACTCAGTGTATGTTTAATGACATTCAGAACTTTTGTGGATACTTGTCTTGGTGCTCCTCTTGTGGGAACAGCTTTGGGGCACATGGACCACTTGGATTGGTAACACTGCTGTGCCGATTATAGTGGAGGGCCACAAGGAACCACAGCCTCAAATCCTGAAATCCACCATCGAAAGCATGAAAATCAGCCACTTCTTTTTGAAAGATGCTGTTTTCAGCATTTGTTCTCACTTCAAAAGTTGGCCAATTGCAACATTCACATATTTCTCCCAACAGACAAGAGTTCTTTCTTTCTCCCACCTTGGACATCATGCCACAGAGATATAAACCCCACTTGCCTAGTTTCCCACAGATCTCACAACCTCTGAGGATGCCTGCCATAGATGTGGGTGAAACGTCAGGAGAGAATGCTTCTGGAACATGGTCATACAGCCCAGAAAACTCACAGCATCCAAACCTACAGTTTGTGTAGCTTAGTACATTGGGAGATTTTGCTATAGATTAATTAAGATTTTTTGATTTCTTGTTGCTAAATGGCAAGAAATAACTCTGCCCATCCTAAATGGAATAGCTGGGGTAAGTGGGTCTGTGTGTAGAAAGTTTTCATGGCTGGAATCGCTGGGTTGTTTTCTGGGCTGTCTGGCCATGTTCCAGAAGCATTATCTCCTGACGCTTCTCCTGACCTTCGATGAGGCGTAATGTCAGGAGAGAATGCTTCTGGAACATAGCCAGGCAGCCCGGAAAATTCACAGCAACCCAATAAGACTGTATTTCTGGTACTTACTTTACTTAGGTGATCCCTTGTAGTCCAAGGATGGTGGTCCTCCAAGTGTAGTGTCCTAGCGGTGGATCCGTAGGTGACTATGGAGCCCTATGCTTGACCTGCATCTTCTCCCGCAGTGAGGGCATCGATTTCCAGGTGGAAGGCGGTCCCTTCCACCTGGAAATACTCAGAATTTAAACTAGCCACACAATCAGTTTTTCACGGCTCAGAATATTTTACCACAACTTAAGCAAAGGAGAAGAGGAGTGTTGAGAAGAACACAGAAGCAACACAACTCAAGCATTGGAAGGAAGAAGTTGGCTTGACGCGCCTTCCTCTTGGCACGTTTCTCTCTTTCACCCTCCATTCGTGCCTCTTCAAATTCTATAGCACTGCTAGTCACAGCTGACCTCCACCTGGAGCGCTCAAGGGCCAGGGCTTCCCAATTCTCAGTGTCTATGCCAGAGTTTTTGAGGTTGGCTTTGAGCCCATCTTTCAATCTCTTTTCCTGTCCTCCAACATTCCGTTTTCTGTTTTTGAGTTCGGAATAGAGCAACTGCTTTGGGAGAAAGTGGTCAGGCATCTGGACAACGTGGCCGGTCCAGCGGAGTTGATGGCGGAGGACCATCGCTTCAGTGTTGGTGGTCTTTGCTTCTTCCAGCACGCTGACGTTTGTCCGCTTGTCTTCCCAAGAGATTTGCAGGATTTTTCGGAGGCAACGCTGACGGGATCGTTCCAGGAGTTGCATGTGAGGTCTGTAGACAGTCCACGTCTCGCAGGCGTATATTTCTGATACTCGCCACAAATCCCTGAGCATGGGTCTCTTTTTCTGGTTAATAACAGTTAGTCGAATGTGTCTAAAATGTCCTCCGTCCTGGTTTTCGTAATTGATGGGCGCCACTCTTCAGGTGTCACGGCACACGTTTCTCCATCCTGTCTGGAGAATTCAGGGCCCGAGTCCGTCATTCAAAACCATTCCCCCGGTGCCTCTTCAATACTGAGACAGATTCGTGCACCTTCAGAATTTCAAATTGGAAAAGATCCCATTTTGGCAGCAAGATTATCCATTTTGCTTTGTCGGGCACTTGCGTTGTCTATGCCTCCGTGCAGGTTTTCTCCTGTCCGTTGTCTAGAAACCAAGGAGAGCACTCGGTCTCATCTTCACATTGTCTGGCCTCTTTCCACGAGCTTTACCTTGTTCCACAAACTACCTGGATGGCGTCTCAGGTTGCTGGTAAAACTGCAGTCGTACCAAACAATCAAACTAAAACTTACACCGAGGCTTTGTGTACTCAGAATTTAAACTAGCCACACAATGAGTTTTTCACAGCTCAGAATATTTTATCACAACTTAAGCAAAGGAGAAGAGAAGTGTTGAGAAGAACACAGAAGCATCACAACTCAAGCGTTGGAAGGAAGAAGTCCCGTACAGGTAATTTTAAAAAATCCCTTTCCTTGATTAACGAGAAATCGGACGTTTAGACATCATTTTAGAATTTACTGGGCTGAAA